CGAAATGCTGCGGGAAGCCCCAGTGGCTTCAAAAGGCTTGAATGTCTCCGGCAGGCAGGCACCCGGGCTGCCAGCAGCAAGGACGCAGGTATAACAGCCCGTCTTTCCTTACCAAAGACTAAATAGAGCGTGCCAAAAATCAGGTCTTCCCTCTCCGATAAAGTGGAGGTGAACACTGAGGCATTGGACGTATTTCCCATCTGCAAAGCAAGATACAAACACAAGTGAGAGTGAATTTTGGCTAACCAAGGAGTGCTTGGCTTCCTCAGTCCCCAGGGAGGACAGGACAGCTCTGCCACAGTGCTACAACCCAGCCAGCAGCGTGCAACTGGGCAGGGGGCCACTAATAGGATCAGGCTGGTAATCTCACTTGATTACCATTCCTTCAATTACAGATCTTACTGATTAGCATTAGCCTTTGGATCTAAATTTTCTTTGCAAGTCTCAGCCATGTGCTGACTGCAGCAGGCGCTGCATGTTTGGACATGGGGACCGGCTGCTCGGAGCTGGGGACTTCGTGTTCTGCAAGGTCCCCCACCTCCTCCAGGCTTGCCCCATCCTTCATGTGCCTCTGCCTGTCCCTGTGTCCACAGCGGCAGAGAGACTTGGCCCAAACTGCCGTTGCGATGCAGCCGAGACCTGTTCGTGTGCCATCCCGGTAGCATTTTAATTGCCTCTACTGTGGGACATGCACTGCATGTGCTGAGAAGGGGACTTGCAACAAGCTGTTCATCGCACCCCAGCCCAGGAGACCCCACAGCTGGGGACAGAAAGGATTTGTCACTCCAGTCATCACTGTGCCTGGCTGGGACCTTCCTTCTTCAGCCGTACCTACATCTGATCCGTGCTGCCAGCAGTGCGGGTGGTCAAGAACTTGAGGGTTGAACCCATGTATTAACAAAAAAAAAAAATAGTAGTAAAAAGCCATTCCCTTTCTCGGGGTGCCTGACTCAATCATTGAGTTTTATTGGCCTAATTAGTTTCCCTGTTATTTTGTGCAGCTGAGCCAAAGGCTCCCAAGTGCTTAGGAAGTTAATAGGGGGTAGTAGACCAGAACAGCAGACGCGTTTCAGTATATTCACTCCCTTCACTGATAAGAAATAAATGGAAAAATGTTTTGTTCAGGTGAAGAAAAAAAAAAAAAAGGAGAGGGGGCGAGAGAAAATAATGGTTTAATTATATGTTTCGATAGCTGTTAGCTTGCTGGCTGGGATGTTTAATGCAGGCAGGCAGTATTTCTGCCTCCTTCCCCAAGGTCCCTTCCTGCACGCTGCAGGAGGAGCGGAGCGCCCTGCCGGGGAGCAGGGGCTGGGGCCAGCCTGGGCACGGTTCAGCCCTCACACGTGGCAATGGGCTGCTTATTCCTGCCCCAGAGCCTACTGGAACGGGGAACAGATTTGGCCTTATGGGGAGGAGGTGAATAAAACCAATATCCCCAGCACAGATCCCTACCTGACCCCTAAGTGCCACGAGGCAGCTTGGGAGCTCTCACACAACCCACGAGATGTTTACAGCTCACATGGTCCCACTTATTACTTTTCAGTGAGACTATCTCAAGCAGCTGATGTTAAGCAATCAAATATTTTTACAGTCGGTGCCTACATACCATGAGTGGGATGGAGTTGCCTCTGCAGGCCAGGCAAGATGCTGGTTAATTTAGTTAATGGGAGCTGCAATGGTCATCCATGGTTCTCAGTTCATTCCGTTGAACTTCTTCTGGCTTCTCTGGATGGTTCCTGCTGCCCTTATGAACAGAGATGGTGGAAAACAAGAGAACTGGTCTGTGCAAAACAGTCCCGGCAAGCGTGTGCTGTGCAGAGAGAGGTGTCACACACTGAAGACAGAAGGAGCAACAGCAAGCCAGGCTTTGCCTGGCTCGCTCTGGTAGACATGGGCAGAGCCCTTGTGCTGCTGGCAGACTCCCATACCCTTGAGACATGTTTTGTCCCGGCTACTGGTCTGACAGCTTGACGCGAATGTGATTTTAAATTAAGCTCCATTTACATCACCCTGCTAAACGGACAGAGGCTCTCGGGAAGCTGTGCAGCACACTTGCCTCCTTCCCCAACTCATTTATTGGCTTTTGGTGATGGGAGAGAGATACTGCACTGGTTTGAAATGCCCTGTCCTCCTGCCTGGGTCTGGAAAGTCTGGTCCATGGCACTGCAAGGAGATGGTGAAGGCAGACATGCGCAGCCAGGTCCAACCACTTCTGCTTGCCTTTCCTAGTATGAAAGAGCTTCCTGTCACCACCTTTCACTTTGGAGAAATGACCACCACACCTGGGATTTTTCCAATCTCTTGTCGTGCAAGACAAAGCATTTACTTAACAACAGCCTGTGTTTTACCAAGAAACTAAACTCCAGCTATGATCTGCAGGCTTGGGCGAGGCTGCTGGCCCTTGGGGTTTGATATGCTTGCACCTATGGGAACAAGCACTGAGCAGCATGATTGCCCAGGCAGGCTGACAGCCACGCAGCTGGTTTGCTACTTGAACATCTCAAATGTCCCCTGTCCTGTTATACCAGTATGTACAAATACAGCCCAGCAACTTCTCATACATCATTATGGTGTGACAGCATCAGTGGACAAGGGAAAACCAACAGACGTCATCTATCTGGACTTCTGCAAAGCCTTTGACACGGTCCCCCACAACATCCTTCTCTCTAAATTGGAGAGCTATGGCTTTGATGGATGGACTGTTCGGTGGATAAGGAACTGGCTGGATGGTCGCGTCCAGAGGGTAGTGGTCAATGGCTCGATGTCCGGATGGAGACCGGTGACGAGTGATGTCCCCCAGGGGTCTGTACTGGGACCGGTGCTGTTTAATGTTTTCATCAATGACTTAGACAGCGAGATTGAGTGCACCCTCAGCAAGTTTGCAGATGACACCAAGCTGAGTGGTGCGGTTGACACACCAGAAGGACGGGATGTCATCCAGAGAGATCTGGACAGGCTGGAGAGGTGGGCCTGTGTGAACCTCATGAGGTTCAACAAGGCCAAGTGCAAGGTCCTGCACCTGGATCGGGGTAACCCCCAGTATCAGTACAGGCTGGGGGAAGAAAGGATTGAGAGCCTACTCTGCTCTGGTGAGGCCTCACCTGGAGTACTGCGTCCAGCTCTGGAGCCCTCAGCACAAGAAGGACATGGTACTGTTGGAGCGCGTCCAGAGGAGGGCCACAAAAATGATCCGAGGGCTGGAGCACCTCTCCTATGAGTACAGGCTGAGGGAGTTGGGCTTGTTCAGCCTGGAAAAGAGAAGCGGCGGGGAGACCTGATTACGGCCTTTCAATACCTAAAGGGGGCCTATAGGAAAGACGGGAAATATCTTTTTAGTAGGGCCAGCTGTGACAAGACAAGTGGTAATGGTTTTAAACTAAACCAGGGTAGGTTTAGACTAGATATAAGGAAGAAATTCTTTACAATGAGGGTGGCGAAACACTGGAACAGGTTGCCCAGAGAGGTAGTGGAGGCCCCATCCCTGGAAGCATTCAAGGCCAGGTTGGATGGGGCTCTGAGCAACCTGATCTGGTTAGCGGTGTCCCTGCTCGCTGCAGGGGGGTTGGACTAGATGACCTCTAGGGGTCCCTTCCAACCCAAAACATTCTATGATTCTATGATTACTTGTATTTATATACATGCAGCTTTGATGTTCAGCCTTAAAAATTCATTACCTTTTAATAATTGCCTGCTAAAATACACAAGGAAAACATTAACATGTGCATCTTAGAGGCTTCCTACTTTAAATAATATAGTGTTGGTGTCAGAGCAGCAACTTGACTTGGAGGACTTTGCAGGTGCACACTCCCCTGGTCTGCTTTTCCTTATGCTTTCCTGGTTGCTGGACATTGTGCTCTCAGTTCTGCTTTGGCACTGGGGTAGCCTTGAACCACTCTAACACATTTGAATGTCCTCATTTGCATTATATAGTTCAGCTGAATCAATTTGCTTTTCTTAGCGAACATAATTCACAAGGTGCTCGCTTTACGCCCCCTCCCACCTTCTCCCTGTTCCTCTTGCCTGGACACAGTGCAGAGAACCAAGCCCTGCCAGCGTGGCCCCGTGAGATGCTGCTCATGACCAAGTTATGAGAAGTCACCGTAACCTCCATCCGCGTGCTCTTGGGCTTTCTGCTTGCTCTGGGCAGAGTGCAAACTCCCTGGCCATCCCCGTAAACATCTACACAATGTAATTACCAGGACACACAAGGCTGGAGTCTGAGCAGCAATGGGCCAAGATCCACCCTGAGCTCTGCTTAGAGGGAGAAGGATATAGGCAAGAAATTATCCCAGCTAATATTAACTTGGGAAGCTGCACACCAGTCCTCAGCCTTGCGCTCGATACCCAGGGAAGGAATTCACCGCCTGATCTTTCTGCACTTGCACCACACTAAAAGCATCCCAGAGTAACTCAGTTTGCTCAGCTCATCACCTGCTTTTACTTCCAGGTTTATGTTGAAGGTGACCGTCCCCTCTCCGTGTCCTCAGCGTGACTGATGGCACCTGCAGCTCCGGGAAGCACCTCCCTGCCTGCCCGGCTGAGGCACTGGGACCTGCCGGTGTCCAGCTGGGGTTGCCTTTCCCGTTTGCTCCCTGGGAGCTTCGGGAATCGAATCGACAGGAATCCTGAGCAGAGCCTGTGAATCCCAGAGAGAGGCACCAGCACACAGGTGACACCAGGCAGCTTTAAGCTGTCCTTCCTCGCTCTGGTCTGTGCTGGGTCGATCTTTCAGCAGATATTATAGCAACAACAAAACTGTTGTCACCCGTTCTGGAAGCTGGGAAGCCCCAGCCCCCGTGAATTTGGTGTGCTCCCTCTGCAAGGGCAGCCTGCAGAAACCAGCCCGACCACTGCTCCACGGTTACACCTCGGTGCAAGCCAGGCTCTGAGCATCAGGTACACACTCCCTGATTGCAGAGAGACTACAACATCATCTAGGAGGTGAGCACAGCGGCTCTGGGGGTGGGAGATATTTGGGTTGTCCCTTTACGACAGCAATCATTTCAATAAAAGGATGGCCCTGGATACCTGGTACTGACCCTGCAACTGCTCCTTGCAAGCACTCCAAGTGCTTTTGCAGCCAGGATTCAAGCCAAATCTCTCCCTTTACTGACTGTCCAGTGGAGACTTAGGTTGTCCCTTGAGATTTTCACTGACAGTCACGACTCATTGGACACAAGTGCTGGAAATCCCTAGCAGGAAAAAGAGAAACATTTTCCAACCTTTCTTCACCTGCTCTGTGCAAATCTTGTCCCTAACCTCAAATCAGTGACTCATAAAGAACAACAAAATAAACGGGGCTTGTGTTCAGGTTTTGTTTAAAACCTTGAAAGCAATTTTATCTTAAGAAAAAGCAGCAATGGCAAATCTGGGCTTTAGTGGAAGAATAAAGTTTGCCGGCTGCAAGACAAGGTGCTGCAGGAAGGTTATCAGATGAGATTTCTCCATCACACGGAAGCAGAAAAAGCTGGAGTCCAATTTCTCCCTTTTTCAGGCCACCCTCTAAAAGGTATGGGAGGAAATAGGCTTCCCTCCTCACCAGCATGTGCCGGAGCAGAGAGGGCAGGGTGAGAACATCACTCCGATGCATATTCATAATTGTCAGGGTGAAAAAGCTGCCTCAGAGTATTTAATTTCACAGCTAACGAAAATCCAATCTCAATGTGCTTTCTATGATGAATGCACGTCCTTAGGAGCCCACCTCTCCCTTCCTTGTGTGCCAAAGCATTTTAATAGATGCTAAGGTTAAATTTATCAGAAAACCACCAAATTATTAGACTGAGTATGACACTGTGGATGTGGAAAGGGAAGGTGGGAGGAGGTTTTGCTACATATTCATCAGCTTCTAAGTCTCTCTTCAGAATTTCTCAAGGAAGTGACTCTTTCTTTCTCCTTAATGGGGAAATGGACAGAGCTCCCAGAGGTACAATGTGGATGCATGCACTAAGATACGAGCCTATGCCTTTGGGATAAATGTATGCGCCACCATGCTTGTGTCCCTACAGGTACCTTCAGCATTGCCTGTTGCTCTGACCATCCCTACATGCATTGGGCTGCATGGAAGGGAACTGCAGTTACTGATGACGAGAGCCCTGCAATGGTGCAAGCTGGGCGAGAGCCAGCTGAGGGGTCAGAGTGCTGGAGCGATGTCCCAGGCTGTAGAGCGGCACCCAGGAACGGGACTGGGAGTTGCTCACCCTGAGAGCAAAGTTGGTGCAGAGGAGAGTGAATCCCGCAGGAGAGGAGGACGTGGAGGTGCTGGAGACCGGCACCCCCCTTGTGCTACGGGTGGGCAGGACGACATAGCGCTGGTGGTGAAAGGGGGCTGGCTGGGTTCATCTCCTCCACAGAACACCCTGGCTGCTAAATGGTTCACAGCACAGTGGAAATTATCTCCCTCGCTATCCTGTGCTCCTTGGAGGGTAAAGAGCGTCCATGGTACAGGAAGAGGTGATTTATACCTCCCTGTACCAGACCGAGTGACTCCGGCCATGAGAATGACGTCCTTCATTAACCTAATTGGAAACAACCTTTATCTAGGGATGAGCAAATCATTCCTGAAATTCTCATAACGCATAGTGCTCCCCTAGGCCATATTTCATTCTTCCTCAAGAGCCCTTGGGAAGCAGACACGCTGAACACAGCGCAGGCACACCACCTCTCCGAGATGCTTCAGCAAAGCATACGTGTATTAAGAACACAGAGCCTGGGATAAGGGAGGGACTGTGGTCACACAGCTGCACTGGTGACGAGACAGGCCCAGCATAAATAGTCTGGAAGGAATTGTTCCTGTCCCTCAGCGTGCATGCAGGCACGCAGCAAAGGAAGGAGAGAACTGGCAAAGCCTGTAGGATTTCATTTCCTTCAGAACCCTGGCAGGTCTCCATCCTGCAATACATCAGGGGAGCTACAGGTGTCCAGTGAGATCAAGCTGGCAAAAAGTAACAATAATCCAGGGGAGAGGAACTTCTATTTCGGATGTATTACTTGGGATAGGCCTGTTCTGGTTTTGGCTGGAATAGAGTTAATTTTCTTCATAGCGGCTACTATGGGGCTGTGTTTCAGATCTGTGCTGGAAGCAGTGTTGATAACCCAAGGATGGGTTGG